ATTCACGCCCGGGTCGCCCTTCCACGTCAAAAACGGATGACAATATCGAAAAAATCGGTAATCTGATTCGATCTGACCGTCGGTTAAGTATTCGTGCGATTGCTGAAACTGTACGAATTGATAACGACCCGAATTGTGGAAGGACAAGTCATGGGTTCTCCACCAAGACAATGCGCCGGCTCATTCCGCATTGTCTGTCAAGAGGTTTCTAGCCAAGTTCAGCATCCCAGTGTTAGACCATCCGCCTTATTCGCCAGATCTTGCGCCGTGCGACTTCTATCTGTTTCCTAAGGTGAAATCTGCCTTAAAAGAAACAAGATTTGAGTCCGTTGAAGCTGTGAAAGAGAAAGCGGCGCGCGTCCTGAAGGAGCTGACAGAAGAAGACTTCCAGCACTGCTTCGAACAATGGAAGATTCGTATGGAGCGTTGTAGGGATAGAGGAGGGGTGTATATTGAAGGTGATAATAAGTAAAAATGTATGAAATCAAAATAAAATGTTTTACAGCGTCAGTCTCGTTATTTAATAATCACATCTCGTATGATGGAATATAATACGTCTCCTATAATAAAATATTAATTTATGATTCAAAAACGTAATTAACACAATAAAAATCATTAGTAGATTTTGTTAACAAAATATTATTTACCTTTATTTCTCCTGGAAATAGTTTCACAATTTCATCTGCTAAGTAATGAAAACGATTAGTATTAATTCTGTAATAAAGACAAAATGTTATTCGTAAGACTATACGTTATAAGTATATCGTCAGTGTGTCGTGGAAAAGTCTCCTATGTGATTTTTAGTGACATTCATTTGTATCATTGTATCATATATAGTATCATATATAGAATTTCATTCTGAATATCATGATATAAATATTTTGATATCTCAAAAAAATCTCAAAGGAAATGTTTCCACGACAACAACGATATTTTAAGTGTATTTCACTAGAAAAAAACCTTTCTAAAGAAAACAACGATAATTATACAAATACTTGCATTTTTTGAGTATCGCAACCAAATTCCGAGGTAATCACTATATTAACTAGTTTCAACCTAGCACTGTTATCTAAACCTATTCTTTTATATTGAGCAAGAATATTTTTTCCTTCTATAGAACTGTTTAATATTTTATTGATATCCTGAAAGACCAAAGTGAATACAGAATATTTCACATTGCTTACTGAAACATTATAACATTTGAAATATATTATATATGTATGATTAAGGAAACTTTAATCTTACACTGTTATATATGTTCGGATTTTCTGTAGATTGATATATAATACGAGCAGTGCAATCTTCTTTTTGTACTGTCTGAAAGACAGGAACCTCCAGCTTGTCAATCAAAAAAATTGATGTTTCATTTGAAGAGATCACTGAGCTATCATCTTTATCGAAAATTTCACTAGTTCTGTGCCCTATAGTGAAATCATGATATTCTACAATAACTGACGTTGGATCACCACTAGTTAAATTGGATTCGATTTTCCTTCTTTTATTATCAAAGATAATTTGGTCTACAATATTATCCTGCAAGCACAAATATAAAAATATTTCCCACTCGTCTTTAATTTTGCAAATATTTACTAGAAAAATGTTTTAGGAAAAACGGAAGAATATTAAATATATCAAAATCAAAACAGAAATTCACCTGTTTACACGAGAGAGAAAGACTCATTTTCTCAAAATTCATGCGATCAACTGTCTTTGGCATTATTTTTTTTAAATATTTTGCATTGTTCTCAAAAAGACATGGTATATCGTTTATTGTGATACCGTTTCCTACGAATAAATAATAAACAAGATGGTATATATATATATATATATATATATATATATATATATATATATATCATAAATAATCTCGAAAATAATCGTATTTTCAGAGAAAATCCTATTTGGATATAGACGTTAAGAGATATTCTTTAATCAAGAGGAAATGTTCGAAACAATATTTCTTTTAATAGAGAAAGGGATAATGTACGTCAATAATCGGATAGGACTACTTTATAATCAAACATCATTTCTTGATATGAAGAAAACTATCGATATATGCGGCGTTTTATTACAATAAATATGAAACATTATCTTAAAACTCTCTCTTGATAATGTTACATTTACTTACCTTTAAATACGGGAACAAATAGCTCAAATCCGATACTTTTCAGAAAAGCTTTACAATCCATATTACACGAATGTTATTGAACATTACACAACACTGACGTTCTTCGTGACTTGGTTGCTGCCTGTCGCTGTCTGTCGGTAAATCAAAGATATTTCACTTTAGGTTACGCGCTGTAAGCGTAATGCTATCTCTCTTCCGCATGTAAATAAAATAACATTTATAACGTGTGAGAGCCCAAAGCGACCCCAATGTAGCTTTAGTCTTACTGTGTCCTGCGTGATCACGTTCTGTGTACGAATCATCAAAACTACATCGCGTATAATATAAATGTACAGCGTATATGCGTATATACAACGTATTGTGTATATACAAACCGTACAGACGTCTCAACCATAGTATTAGTTCTGCAGAATATAGAATAGAAGCAGTAACATGCTTATGGTTGAGGCAACTATATATGAAGTATGTAGCAACGGAATACTACGCATCGTAAGAACTATAGTTGTGAGAACCGTATTGATGAGGATGTGGCAACTGTAGTTTTGGATGTTATATAAATTTAACTTGAATTCATATTCATTTTTACTTTAACCATAGACACTGTGGTTATAACAACCATAGCAGTTTTCTGCGTGCACTTTTTGTTGAAGATTTTTGATCAGCACCTCATAAGCTACAAAATATCTTAGTTTCAGTTAATTCGACTAAAACCACTTTTTTCATATGATTAGTGCGGAGTCCTTTCGAAAAAAACTTTATTACTTAAATTTAATAAATATCTGTAAATGAAACATGTTTCCATATAAGGTGTATATTTATTTTTTCCGTTACTTGTAAAACTAAAATCTTGAAGTCATGAAATGAAACAAATTTAACTTTTAACTTTTTAATTACTTTTTTTTATTAACTTAACTTTTAATTCAATTAATTTCATTATGGGTTAACTTTATTTTAACTAAGTTAAATTTTTAAAGTCATTAACTTTAACTTAACTTAGTTAAAAAAAAGTTTACTTACCCAACCCTGAATATGCCCTTTCAAAATCTGAGAACTTTTTCGATTATCTCTATTACTAAAAAAGATATGCATTTTTTAAACTATTACGATAAAATGACATTTCCTTTGCATTTATGAATAATTCTAACGTTTCAACACGTCTTTATTATGTGATGCTTATTATAATTTAATTCTAATTCTTAATAAATATATGTGTTTATCAGTCTATTAACAATCGAGAAAAAGAAGTCAAAATACGGTGATTTTTACCGGAGTTATAATAAAGTAGCTGGGGTCCTTCAAACCCCAGTGAAGCATTTACGTATGCGAAAAATAAGTGTGTATACCTAGGGTTAATGCAGACTCATCTTGAGAAAAATCGAGATATTGACCAATAAAATGCAACAAATTTAATTATTATACGTGCATTATAGAATTTTGGCTTAACCACCGTGGCATAAAAACTTGTTCAAACCTGTTCAGAAACGTGATCTGACTATGTAGTTATTATGTAAATTTCTATAGTTATTATGTAATTTTGTAGTAATATTGACCCTAAAACAATTTCGATAACCAAATATAAACGAAGATTCGAATTAAACGCTTCAAATGAACAGCCATTTTGGTGCCGCCAAGTTTGTTGAAAAAAATACCCATGGCATATTTATTAAGTTAAAATGTCGGGAACACGTTTTGGACACTTTTCCGAGCGATACTAACACATTTTTATGGAGAAAATAGCGGAAGAAAAAAAATAGTCCTAAAAATATGCGTTTTTTATTTTATTTTGCAAAAATTTTGCATAAATTGTGATTTTTTTTAAATTTTCTCAACACTATTCGATAGAGCAACATCGAAATTGGTAGGAATGGTACTCTTTATAAATAACATCTCATTTCTGTAGTAAAATAAATGGCTCAAGTCAACGTAAAATTTCAGCACATTTGGGCGTTAATGGGTCTAGATACTCACCGCGATCATGTTCGTCATGACGTTATAGGTAAGAAATGGCGAGGTGAGTAGACGAATAAGATTAAAAATAACACGTTAAAAATTATAGCATGCCATTTTCAACTTTACTGAAAAAAATATCTTGAGATCTCAGTCGAGATCTCATTTGAGATCTCACTTGAGAACTTAATTAAGATTTTCGCAAGATTTCTCAATTAAGATTTCAAGACACTTTTTCAGTAAAGTTATATCTTCCATGCGTTAAATTTATGTTTCTCAGTTTTAAAAATAATAACGTTCTCCACTTATTGATTTGATATCGTGGTGAATATTTCTGCAACGTTGTTGCAAGATTGCGGCAATGTTGAAATGTCTGCCTTCAAAAACATTGCAATGTAACATTATAAGAAATAATGAAATGTTATAATGAAATGTTAAATATAAATGTAAAAATAAATTTATGCTTTATTTCCTCATATCTCGCGAACGTTAGGAACCACAACATTCTGTCGCACATATTCCAAACGTTCACACGTTCGCGTGTCTTCCCTTTTTGTAGGCTTCGATCTTAAAGCAGTGGGCGACTACTCACCATGATAAACGTTGCCTAATTTTGATGATTAAGCGATCCGTAGCGATCTTCATGCTCTGATACAATATTCTTATACTTATACTTTATATTTATACAAGTATTTTTATAACAGAACATTATAACATATTTACTGGCAAATATTAAAGCAACGCGAACAACGTACGACGAATATTTATTGGTAAATGTATATTAGTAAACTAGTAACTCTATGATTACTTTTAGATTTTTAACGAATGATTATAATGGTTAATCAAAACAAAAAATATATATAGTTTAAAACAAATGCTAAGAAATTTAAATTAAATAAATCTAATTCTCATCTAAAAAAATTGTTGAAAAATATTATTTTAAATAATAGTGTTTTTTCATATAATAATATAGTTTGTTTCAACGAAATAACAGTTTTAAAAAATGATTTATTTAATAGATTATTTTTAAAAATGGAATACACATGAGGAAAACATATCTCTACCGAAAAAAATGTCTTGAGATCTCAATTAAGAAATCTTGTGGAAATCTCAATTCAGTTCTCAAATAAGATTTCAAATGAGATCTCAATTGAAATCTCAAGACACTTTTTAGTAGGGAAATTAAAGATATTTTAATGAAAGAAAATTTCATGTTGAAAAAATTTTCTTTTGATAATCAATAATAGCCGTAATAACTGTAATGTTTTATTATCAATTTTGATGTGTGAAATTTACGAACCATTGACATAAAATATTTCAAAAGTACATATGACACGCAAATGCGCACCAATAAATCCTGTTTTAATCTTATTGAATGAATTTCTGTTGACGCGGTCTGTTGACTGCATTTCGGGCTAAGGCTTTCAGGTGGCGAGCCAATTCATGTTAAACAAATAGCACGGTTTGACGAGCCTCCTCAAACGACCAATAGAAGTACAACGTCACACAGATATGACTAAGCGGGAGCATTGTTTATCGCGAACCTGATTTACCGCATAACGTTGGCATCATCCGATCCACGTGCGATCATCCGAACTTGTGATCATGCCAAGTGATAATTGTCCAAAACGTGTTTGCTTGAAAAATTATATATACACATATTTATCGTAGAAAGTATGTTATAAAGCATTAAAGGTAAATGCAGTTGACAACCACGTTTAATTACGTCTTGTATCTTATCAGAAATATGCACAGTATGTTTGATAAGAGCGTGTACAGCAAAACTTTTTCCTCGAAACCGTTAGAGGGGGGATATGAACGCGAGCCAATAGCGGGGCTCTTCTCCCAAGATGCTTTGTCTAGAAAGCCTTAGTTATCGTTTGACTTTCGTCACAAAAGGGCGTATTTCAACATGAGTGCCGCGTACGCATCACGTTACGAAGCTGTGTTTCTATGTTCGCATCCGAAAGGACCAAAAATGTCGCGCGGAGCGGCTGCTAAGTATATGAAGAAGTCTAAGGCGTTTGTGAGTAAGTGGGTGAAACGTTATTCCGAGGTCAAAAACGTTGATGACTTGCCGGATCGTGGCTCTGTGCAGAAAACGACGAAAAAGGAGGACAAAATGATTTTACGGGTGTTTGAGAAGAATCCTTGTTTATCATTGCGTGGCGGGCAAGCGGTTTTACTTAAAAAGGGTCTAAATATATCATGTCATACTATAAGAAGACGTTTACTGGCTCATAAAGTGAAATTTCGAAGCACGATAACGAAACCGTTGCTGTCTGAAAAACACGTCGAAAAAAGACTTGCTTGGGCAAAAGAAAATTTGGACCGCTATTGGGGCAACGTAATTTTTTCAGATGAAGCTTCGTTTTGGGCAAAGTCTTCTATCAGACGTGTCTGGTCTACCCAGGCCAATAGACTCATCGAGCGGACCGTTAAACATCCGGTAAAGGTGCACGTCTGGGGCTGTTTCTCAAAACAGGGATTTGGCACTTTACACATCTTTACACAAAATTTGGATGCTGCTAAAATGGTCCAAATATATGAGAGAGCTTTATTACCATCTGCCCAAAGGTGGTTTACGAGGAAAAATGAAAATTGGCTACTGCAAGAGGACAATGATCCGAAACATCGGAGTAGACTTTGTACTGCGTGGAAACAAGAAAATGACGTTGACGTACTGGATTGGCCTTCACAGTCGCCAGATGCAAATCCAATTGAAAATGTTTGGGCGCTTATAAAGTTTAAGCTCCGAGGAAAGAAAATATGGACCGTCAAGCAGTTAATTCGACAGATTCGATTTATATGGAGATCTTTGTCTGAAGATTATGCTGTAAAATTAGTAGAAAGTATGCCTCGGAGATGCCAGTCAATTATTGATAATGGAGGCGACTGGACAACTTATTAATAATAAAACATCGCAGTTTATATCATGCATAATGTGTACAAATTTTTTCCATTTATGTATTATCCTAAGTTTTTGAGTTTTGCCGTACACGCTCTTATCAAACATACTGTACATACACTTATTTGTTGTTTTTAAAGTGTACGCAGTTGCTATTTCGGTGCACGATTCTTCCTGCAAATATTTTAACAATTCTCCAAATTACGTAATTATTAGGTTTTACTAAGCTTAATTATTATTTTATTAAGCAGTATTATATTTGTAACATATATTAACGAATATCAGTGAGAGTATGTGCGAAAAACTAACTAATAAAAAACAATTTTGCTTTTTAAAATTGTATTACACATTTCTTATAAAAAAGCAACAATAATAGAGAAACGAGTACAAGTATAAAATGGTACAACGGTTACAAATAGCCAGTTTAAATGGCCATTTAAAGGTGTATATATGCTATTCCTGGTAAAAATTGTTCTCATAATTTTTCATACAATTTCTTATATTATTAATTTTTTTTATATTATTATGTCATTAAATCTAAGGGGGCAATACTGTTTCTTGGCTGAAAAAGGAGGCTATATTTGCGAATTTTTTTCTCAGAAACTACGCGGCCGGTTATTTTGAAACTTGGTACACTATATACTATATATTTTATTTGTATGTCAGAATTTTTATAAATATGTATGTTGCGAAATATAAAAGTTATTGAAAAATAATTCTATGTGTTTAATAATATGTATAAATAACTATAAACGTGAAACTGAAATGAGTTTTTGCTCCATAGCGCGCATATTTCATGACTCGTTAATCTGAAACAAGAAGGCCAAAAAGATCATTAAACTAGGGACATTCAGTTATCGCTGGAACTAGGGATGTTGAAAACAGATAGTTTTTTAGCAAGTTATAGGTATTTGAAAAAACGCTCAAAAAATCGCCTTAAAAATCGACAGTTTTTTATTGAAAATAAATAAAAAAAGTTAATATATTTTAATTTCGCTAGTTCGGGCGAAAATAGCACATGCTTTGAATATGTAGCTATAGGCAGAAGTCGATCGGTTCAGCAGTTTGTCTCAAATCGTGCGCGCCAGTTAGAGAAAAATCGTTTTGAGAAAAACACGTTTAAAGTTTCGGGTACTATTTAAGCTTATATTTTTAATATTTACGTAAGTTTCAACCTAATCAGTGATTCCAGGCCCATAGATCAAACACACCCGAGTCGTTCTTTTGTTACCTAGAGTTCATAGGACCTTCGTGGATCGCTTCGTGGACCATATATCTGACGAAATTTTAAACGGTTCGGTGAGCATTGAATTTGACCTGCACCGCTTCGAATAATAGGCTGTAACTTACGCAATTTTTCGAATTTTTCGATGCAATAAATAGGAATAGATTCTTAAAAATATATAGTTTAATTAAATGTAAAAAAAGAGAAATCGATTTTTTTAACCAAAGAAACGGTATTGCCCCCTTAACCGTCATGCAATAAGTATTGAAGGCAGCAGCACCGAATAAAATATTAGTCTCGCCATGTAAATAACTTCTACAGAATTTTTGTGATGGTTTATTTGAAAATATATCATGCTTCGATTTTGGTAAAATTTAATACAATCTAAACTGAACAATCGACCAAATTAATTCGCATATGTAAAAGCGCAGTATTTTATTATGATGGAAAAATTTCATTATCTGCTTTTTTATTGCAGTAATTTTCTATACCCTGGAGTAAATTTCTATATCTAGTCCCTGGTAGAAAATTAATTTCTAATTATCGTGCCGGTCTCTCTTACATTATTTATACGTTAAACGTTTCGTCTATATTTTGCGGTTTAAAAGGCGAACAAACTTTAAGATTTTTCTTCCTTAAACTTTAAGTGGGCAATACAAAGCACTTTTTATCAAGTGAGGATTTGGCGTAGTGTCTAAGGCGACGAACGATTATTCAAAAGATGTCTTCGGTTCAAGTTCTCACTAGAGAAAATCTTAAAAATGATGAAAAAATAATATAGAAAAGCTTTTTTTTTTATTGTGTTTTACGAGTATTTATGAATATTTATGAGAAAATGCTCATTCTCTGAGTAATTATGGAAAATTATGAGAAAATTTTCTACCAAAAATTTAATTGAAGAACCTACGAAACAACAGGATCTGCGCACAATCTGCCGCCAATCTAATGTTAGAGTCTGTTAGCAGACTCTGTCAGCAGTCTGACAGCAGATTGATGACGCAGATGTCTATGGATCTGTCGACAGATCCTGCGAATTTGATAGATTCTGTCACCAATCTGATGTCAATCTGCGCACAGATTGCTTACTGCGTTACGTTCTTCAGTAACAATTTAATAACAATATTACTTTTTGTCATTAATAACGTAAATTAATAACCGATATTAATAACATAATTTCTTAGTAACGTAACGCGTTTTCTCGACAACGGTCACGAATACAATCATTACCTTTATTGCTATTTTGTACCTGCAAAATATAGAAGGTATTTCAATAAAGGTAGATAAACATTTAAGAGCTTGGTGAAAAAATTAACAGAAATTGTATCGACTCGGTACTGTTCGACATTAATGACATGGCAACAAGTTATTTTTTAGAGTAAACAACGATAACAGTAACGAATCTTCTCAATAGTTTTGACAACTTACATTTAAAAAATAACTTTTCTAATCCTGTAGTCATTACAGTTTTACAGGATGCAAAACAGTTAATAGAAATTTTAAAAAAATATTATTTTAAATAACGGCAACGGTAAAGAGTCATTTGTCAAAATGAGTAACGGTAACGAATTATTTTTTTTCATAGCTTTAAGTAATAGTAACGAATATTTGTAGAAAAAATGACATTTCCAATTCAATTACGCTATTACAGTTTTACAGTGCACGAAACAATTAATAGAAATTGCAAAGAATCGTTACTTGAAGTAACTTCAATAGTAAGAAATTATTTGTCAAAATAAATAATAATTTTTATTTATAATTTCTTTTTTTTTCATGACTAACGAACAGTGAACAAGTTATTTTTTAAAAAAAAGTACATAGAGAAAAGAATATATTCTCATTTTAAAAATATCTTTATTTTTTACATATAAATCTTCAATTAAGACTATATTACGTTAAAAGATAAGTTTCTTATATTAATATATTTTATATAATTTAATAACAGATTTAAGAACATATAGATAACAAGAAAATATATATTTTTATTACTCAAAACTAATTTTCATGAATGAAAAGTGCAAAATATTAAATTAAAAATATGAAATTTTTAGATATCGAAAGAAATCGTCATAACATAAAAATAATCATATTATACTTCTTAGAAAACTATTGTGTTAAAATAAAATTATAACATTATTAAAATTCAAAACTTAAAAATTCTTCTAACAAAATTATTTATCGTTACTTATGTATGAAACAATGATTGTTAATTTGAATATATTAGTTTTAAATGGATATCAATTTATTTTTTGTGCAACTTTCCGAATCCTGATCAATATAAGTATAAAAATGCACGACGCACGTGGCGCAATGTTTACGTGTGTGATCGTCTACGTAGTAAACAAATAAAGTGGAATGCGTCGCGCGGATTACATCAGAGAATGCAAAGAAACGTGGTCGTATTGTGGCTGATGCGATCGTCGCGTTGTGTGTGACGCGGAAGTAAATCTACGCGACTATCCCGGGTTGGCCCGCTAGTGTCGTACGATGTTATTTACGAGAAGTCATTTGCCGTGCCGAGAGACGCGACGCGGTGCTTTGGTCACGCGCTACTTTGGTATAAAGAACGAGACGGGCTGGGTCAGGTTTAGTAACTGTGAAGGTTTGGGACGATACGGTCGATTCGTATCGCAACTCAGTTAAACATCAATTTGATTAGAACGAAACTTTCATACCTTTCATCACGCAATTACGCAACACACAACGATCAAATTATAATCACGATTCTATCGAACCGACATCGCGTTCACAATAAAGAAAGAAATTGCGAAGAAAACATCAGATTGACACTTTGTGCTTTACATTTTCTATATTTCTGAGGGAAGTGCGTTGAATGTACAGTGTTTTGCAAATCGCAAATAAAAACGGTGCAATGTCTCTCAATCGACACGTGAAACATTGTCGCAAATGTATCTTATCAACTAGGTAAGTCAGATTGTTGATTAAGCATGGTACAAGATGACTAGACCTCTTATTTTTTCTGAGACAGTTTTTTTCCCAAACTTCTTGTTTTCCACTTTTTATTCCAGATTTTTTTTAATGCTATCTGGGATGCAGATTTAACTAAACTGTCCCGGTTTGACTCGGTATAGAGACTTTTTTTAATCTCGACAGAAAAGGTCTTTTTAAGAAAATTCACAACTCTGGTAATATAGCAGCTTTACCTATTCTTAATTTTAAACAAGAATAACAAAGATTTTATCTTTTAACAATAATTTCTATTTTTATTCTGTAGTTTTTACTCTAATTATTCATTTGTTGTTAAGTTATTTTTCATATATCAATAAATGATATATTGTTTCATATATATACACATACATATAAATTTCAGTAATATCTTCTTCCTCCCATATTCCACACATTGATGAAGTGTGTCGGATTTGGGGCTGGGAAATCTAATCACTTTACTAAGACAGTATCCAGACGCACAAATGTCCAAAATCGAGTCATAAGACGTCTTTAAAGCAATTTTAAGACATCTTTAAGACAATACTTTATAAACTTGTCTTAAAGACAACTTAAAGACGTCTTAAAGACGTCTTATGTCCCACTTTTAGACATTGTGCTGTCTGGGTAGTATACGTAATACCAAGTACATACCCAGTAAACATCAAGTAACAGTAACATTATATAAATGTTATAATTTTCCAATTAATAACCCAGTGAAGAATAAGTGGTCGAAATAACATCAAATCGACGTCGATTCAATTAAATTTTATCGAAATGTAATCGATTGCTGCAGTGTCGATAATTTTTCGATGTGTTTCGTTTATAATAGAATACAATTGTATTTCTTATATTATCAATATAACATATATATTTTTTTAAATAAATAGTTTATATAATTATTTTTAATAATTTACCAATTTAACATCAATTTGACATCGACTTGACATCGGTTAGAGATTTGACTTAATTATGATATATCTCTCGTGAGGACGTAGAGCGGATTGAGATGAACACAAAAGTCTCATATTGTTTTGCGTTATTCTCAATAATAACCGAGAAATTGTAAAAGATTAAGGGAAAACGCATGCTGAATGGTTAAGGGAGGAGCGCTCGCGACCCGGTAAAATAGCAGGCAGATGTCAGCATGCGATTTACATCGCTACAATCCTACGTCTTACCGTACTGCGGCGAGGCAAGATGTAGGAATACAACGATATAAGTACAGACAGCGATACGTTATTTTTCCAATCACCGCGCGCTGACATCCGCGCGTTATTCCACACAGCACAAAACATATCAGCAAACCAGATAGCACAGGATGTCCTATAGACGTCCATTTTATGTCCATTTTACGTCCGCACATCCATGGACATGCAATGGACGTCCATAAGATATCCGATTTTGGACATCGGTTAATATCCATTATTTGGATATCCGATCATGGATATACATAAATGTCTTAAATATAAAATTTGACTATAGGCATGTTGAGAATACGCGCTATCAACGCTGCATATCATTTTATCCCCAGGCAGCAACGTCACGTTATTTTCACATCGATAAATGATGATTATCAATCCTAGACGTCATGTAACCAATAACTAACATTTAAAAAACGTGAACAGTTTTAACGTGATAATAACGTCATTTAAAGACGTCTATAATACGTTTTTGAGAGGTCATTTTTAATCAGCTGTTCGATAAGCAAAGAATGTGACAGATTTTTATCTAATATTTATTTATATCAACTGTGATGTATGTAACCAACAGATTATTATTTATACACGTTGTTATTTATTTTTTATGTGCTTGCATCTCAAGCATTTGGTTCTTAGAAATAAACCTTATAGAACTTGTCCTACCATTTCTTACTCACGAACATTGCATCGTTGCAATTATCCAGTTAGTAGGATGATGTTCAAGATATGTTAATGAGAAAATGTTGACCAGATAGCAGAGAGATGAATAGAAGTTCATAGAGAATTTATTTTAAAGAATACCTAAATAATTAGAAAAATGAATATCTGAAGAATTCCTGAAGAATTATCCGAACCTAATTTATTCTAAAGTATTCTTTGAAACTTTATTATAATAAATATTTCACGAATCATTACTTGGGATACTCTGAGAATTTGTGAGAAATTACTATTATTAACTGATTTTATTTACATTTTATGGCTACAGTATTAGACAGATACCCCATCACTTATAATAAGCGCTGATTTGTATGTTTATATATAAATTTAATTAATTTAATTAAATTTTATATAATAAGTTAGATTTTTCTCTTTTTTTTTAGTAGTACTATTTTATAATTACTCAAAGTTTATAGTCCTTTATGACTTTATTCAATAATAGTTAACAATAAAGAATTTCTATTATAAAAAGTTAAAGATAACAAAATAAAATTTGCTGGATTTTGTAGATCTTACCTCATTAGCTAAGGGTTAAATTAACAATAAAAGTACAAAAAATATAATTTTTATTGAAATTACATCATTTTATTAAATCATATTGTCAGAAAATTATATTAATGCGTTAATTACAACATATATAGATAAAATCTGTGACATTTATATCGATCGATGAAGCGGTGTCGTGTCTAAAGCAACAGATTCATAATCGAGAGGTGTCTCGCGGATCCAAGTTCGAGTTCCACCAGTGCCAGTGAGAATTTTTAAATGTGATGTAATATTGGAATCAAGTAATCTAAAATTTCCAAGTGAAATCAGCAAACGCTGTGACATTTACGAATAGTTTCTGTTAGAAAATTGAACCGAATAAGAACATTAAAAATAATGTCCAGTGGATCTTTTTTGAATATTCCAAGAACGTTCAAAATAGGTAAAAATATCCAAACTTGAACGTCCACTGGACGTCCATAAGACGTCTATATGCTATCTGGGAATGTCTCCAGAATATTACATTTAAAATATTAAATATTCTGGAGATAATCTCAGAAATATTCTAGAAATGTCTCTGCAATGTCTTATGTCACCAACTTGTAATATTGTTGAAATATTTTGGAGACATTGCAGAGATATTCTGAAATATTGTTGAGATATTTTGGAGACATTACAGGGATATTCTGAAATATTGTTGAGATATTCTGGAGACATTGCAGGGATATTTTGAAATATTACAGGGATATTTTGAAATATTGTTGAGAAATTCTGGAGACATTACAGGGACATTCTGAAATATTGTTGGGTAATTCTGGAAATATTGAAACCTTGTACAAAAAATAAATTTATGATATATCTTCAACTAACACGCCAGTTTATGTTAATTTTAAATAAAATTTAAGTCTTCCCTGATGGAAAAATTTTACTGAAATTATAATGAAACTTACTGAAAACGTAATGAAATGTGCTGAAATTTTGCTGAAAAACACAATCAATTGATCTACGTTCATTATGATTTCAGCAATATTCATCGAAAATCAGCAAAATCGTGGTAAATTTCAGCAATATTAATTGAAAATCAGCGAAATTTCAGTAAATTTCAATAAGTTTCAATAAAATTCAATAGAAAATCATTGAAATTTAAAATCAAGAAAAATGTCCCATACAGCAGTAACGTTGAATCAATTTTCTTCATGTCTCATATAACTGCTAGGAACCGAAGATTGTTAAACATACTCTAAAATTTTCGTGACCTTCCTCGATAATTTCGAATCCGAAGCGGTTATGCCCGGTCATCCATCCATGCCTCACTTTGTTAAAGGTGTGCCTAACCTGATGATCGCGCGGCACGCGATGATGCCAATGACTCCAACGAGTTCTTACAGTTTATGCTTATATAATATGTACTTATAATGTTCACAGTATATTATAACGTACCTAGCAAATACGCGCGTTGACTCGCCAATATATTTTATTTAATATCTCTAAAGTTTATGTGATTATTTACAAAATGACTTCGACCATTCTTTTCAGTTTAATGTTCTTTATGTATTGTTTGTTATCGATACAACTTGCATCAGACTCTATAATAGAGTATACCCTTATAGAAATATCATACTAAAAATCATTGATAATTACTTATTATCCAGTATTCTTAATATTGAAAATAAGTAATTATCAATGATTCTTAGTATGATATTTCTATAAGGGTAATAGAGAATATTTTGAAATAAAATAATATTTCTCATGGTTTGCGCAAAATTGCTTAAACGCATTTCAATTTTATATATAAACAATAAGAAAAATATATATGATTATAGTATATTGTAATATAATATGAATAATACATATGTATTAATATAATAAAATTTAATAATAATTTATTTTATTATTATTATTATTTTTATATATCAATAATATAATTTTCAATGTTCCTCAAATATAGTTACAATATTGCAAAATATTGTAATTTTTATTCAATATACATTCAACATTGCAGCTGTATCTGGTTATCAATATTGAAAAATCAATATAAATTTCATGCAGAAAAACATCCGCACTTCTATCTTCAATGTTGCATCAACGTCTCATCAACGTTCTTTCAATATTTTGTGCTGTATGAAAATTATTTAGTATGTTTATCATTGTTGTTAGCACTGGTCCGTACGGATGTTTGGGAGATGAAAGATAAAAATTTATATTTATATACATATATATTTATGCTTATGTGTCTCATATTTATATTATAATAAATATGGACATTTTCACTACAATAAGTATGGTACTTCTTTAAATTTGTAATAATTTTTTTAAAGACATCTAATTAAATTGACTATCTTTATAAATAATATTAAATTTCATATATCTTTTAATCTACAAGCAAATATTCCATGTTAATTAACGATTGCTCTAAATGCAATGTTACATGCAAATTAATAATCGTATGAATTAATTTTGAAACATAATGAAGAAATCAGATTTTCATATGATTTCAGTAAAGTTCGATTTCAATAATTTTCATCGACATTTCAATGAGAGAATTTTCATATTCTAACATGTAGAAAAATAAAAAAACAACAATCAATCAATAAATGAGGTATATTAAGTACTTATTTTCAATTCATTATAAATTGTAATTCTTTCATCAAGTTTCAGCGCAATTCAGCAAAATTTTCAAAATTATTGAGAAATGTTTTTACGACATTTTTTCATGAATATTTTAGCAAAGTTTCAATACAATTTACTCAGTTTTCATTACAATTTAGTAAATTTCATTAAATATTTTAATATTT